AATACATAAAAATATTATTAAATAAAAGAGCAATACTTTTGATGTATTTCATAAATGTATATTATTCAGAATAAAAATTCTATTAATTAGTACATTACGAATGTTCTAATTGAAAAGTACTTGTTATATTATTTACAGTTGATGATCTATGGTTAATATATATTTTATTATTATTGTATTATTTGATAAAAAAAAAAAAAAAAATTGTGATAGCTTTTATTAATTTATATAAAATCCCATATAAATGACACAAGAAAAGAAAAATAGAACTATGATGCGTATGAATGAATAACTCACATTATTTTTTTCGAATCATTTTATATATTTAGTGTATGCATGTTATATTTAGTACACTAAAAATATGTAATCTTTAAATAAAATAAAAAAAATTAACATTCATAATATAAAAAATAAATTAATATATATATGTAAGGTATGAAGTGATTTATAAAAAAATTTATTGGTACAACAATTATGACAGAGTGTACGATTTATTAATTATTTATCTTTAATATATAATATGAGAATATTAGAGTAAAAGAATTATATAAAAATATTTTTAATGTCTGTTTACAATCAAATATTTTATTGAGCACAACACTAAGTATTACTTGATATTATTAAATAAATTATAACATATATATATCATTAAGGAAATATTAAACATTTAATTCCTATATAACAATGTCGTATCATAAATTAAAAAAAGATGAATAAATTCACATATAATAAGTTAAAAATATACATTTCATAATAAAATTTATGTGTAAATATACAAGATGATGTCATTAAAAATATTGTATATCCCCCTGAATATTAAACCTGAATAATGCAAACTAAAACATAAAACATTAACACCAAGACTTAAAACACAGAACTATAAATTTGTAATATAAATTATTATTATTTTTCTAAGAAATTACAAAATTTGATGCATCCATATTACCTATTTAAAAAAACAATATTTTAAGATGTTATGATTTTAATAATCCTGGATAATATAATATATATATGTAAATTCATAAATGATTTCATATAAAAATTGTTTATATATAATCATTCATTGTTAAATCAATATAACAATAATATATAAATGTAAAAAATATATATATGTAAAAATAATTATATGTATTATATTGATATTTGTTTCCTGATATGGCAATATAAAGTGTAAAAAATTATGAAAACATTAAGGTAATTTCCCCCTTATATTCTTATATAATACATGTAATTTGTTTGAGCAAAAAGTAATTAAATTATTTGTTATTTCATATTGCAATTATTAACTTATATAGCCTAAAATGTATTCGCCAATAGTTAAATATATAATGAGTAATTTTAATTTATATATCATAATGATATGTGTACATAGATAACAATCTCTATATTATTCTATAACAAAATTATATTATATATTAAAACTAATCATAACATTTATATAATTTTAGAATATTAGAAATTTGGGAATTGAAGTAAATGTAATAAAATAATAAGTTATCCTCATATATTCCTTATGAAATGATCAGCAATACCTGTAAATTACGATAATTTCTATTAATATGTTCCTATATTATTTGATGTATGAACACTGAAATCAATAATCATTAAACCATAAATCTTATTTATTCTAATTTTATATTTTTGTTTCCATAAATTATATATTCTACAATGAAAATTATATTAAGTATGCATATACGTACAATTATTTGAATACTAAAATGAGTTACATATATTTGTGATTTCTTGTTTTCGTTATTGAATGTATTGTTATAACATTATAATCTTTATATGTCAAAACAAAATTCTTGTTACATTTTAGAATTCTATATTATTTTCTCTTTTTATTGTAAATATCACATTTATATTTTTTATTCATTTATTAAAATGAAAGATAAATTATTCTACATCCAAGAAATCATTTATATTATATTTTAAGAAGAATCATAATTAATTTTGAAGCGAATAAATGATAATATAGCATTAGATCAATTAATATAAGAAAGTGTGACATTCAATTTCATCATTTGATGTGTCTTTATTTTTAAAAATCTATTTTTGTATGTTCACATATTTCATATGCTTATATGAGCATGTTCTCTATAATATAATATTATATAAAATGGAAGATAATATTGTACGCTTGAATTATAACGATATGCGTTACAGAGTTATATAATTACGTATATTACATTTCCTATAAATATAATAAAAATATTTTTAGCATAATATAATTTATGTAATCTTACTCTTTTTTCTCTTAATATTAGTATAGATTTCTACATGAATTTTCTTATTGGGAGGAATGCATACAGAACAAAAACAGAGACGATTATGGAACTACCTACAATAGCTATTGTTCTTCTATGAAGGATGTATATAAAGGCAACAATGAAACCGTATTTATTAATGAAATATGCCCCAAATCTTTTTCATATTTTTTTGATATGTATTTTTCAGGAAATTATGCTAATTATAGAGAAGCAGGATGTAGATATTTCCTTTATTGGTTGTATCATATTATGAAAAAACATAATTGCAGTAACGATACAGTAGAGATTTACAAAACATTGATAAACAAATTTGTCCATATTTATGGTCCTACAACATCATATTGTACTGATTATATGAATAAATTAAAAAACGAACAATTGGAAGATCTTATATTTTTATATAATACCTATAAATGCGTTAAAAACATACAAACACATGATGTATCTCAGGATAACAGGGAATATTGCGATATATTAAAAAAAATTATAAATGAAAATCCAACACCAATAGTGCAAAGAGTTTGTGACATGGCTGAATCACAAAAATCATCAACTAAAAAAAATAATATACAAGAAATAGAATGCTCTTGTCGATCAAATATTTTAAATACTATTGCAACTACAATAATTATAACGCTATTAATATTGTTTTTCTTATTATTTTTGTTTAAGGTTAATTATTGTATTTTTTGTATTTATAGAGAATATTAAATTCTGTTTCCTAATAGCTTAAAAAAAAGCATTCGTCATATTGAAATTACATAATTAACTCCTAATTCATTTTACTTGTATTAGTATACTTCATATGGTTCATTATTGCGCCAAAGAATAAAATGGATAAGAAAAAAGCTTGATAATATTTCTAATATAAGGAATACAATGAAACCAATCGAAGTACCCACAAATATTTTCAACAGTAGGATCTATGATATGCTGTATAATCAATCCTAATATTACTAATATGTATATAATTCGAAGAAAATGCATTTTCAAAAATTCATAAAAGAATTTTTATAAATTGCATAATACGTGCATCTCTCAAGAAAATACATAAAAAAGAAATAATCCTTATGATATAATAAATAAAATTCATGTAGAATATTATCCACATAATACATAGTGTTTCATAATAATAATTATTAAAATATTAATACCTAGGCATATAAAGAGTAAATAAAAGTACTACGAATAAATTTAGTACTTTCTCTATTATGCAGTGTTGTGAATATATAATTTGAGATTAAGTTATAATTTAGTATTTTATAGATAGAATAATAATGCGCCTCATTGACTAATACAATAATAATTATGAAACGTGCAAATTGTTATAAAAATTGAATACAATACAAATATATTCTAAAAATATTATGACATATAACAATATAATATTATTAAAGCAGTTCTCTATTATTATTATATACATATTCATAATTAACTTCTAATAATATATTTTTTTATTCCTTTGTAATATTTTTCACTACTAATGATATCACATTTACATCCATACATGATATTAATGTCTGAAATTTTATTCTATATAAGAATATTGTATAATAAAAAATAGGAAATACAGAAAATAATTTAATTTTTACATTTTTTTTTTCATTAAATTTAGTTCATTTGATCTAATTTATTCCTTTTTGTGTGTTTAATTTATGTTCAAAGTTATTATAATTATATAATATTATAATAAATTTGTATGTACATACATAAGCAATGAAAAAAATAAAAATAAAAACATACATTAATTTTTTTAAAGTTAACATTAGGTGTAAAATAAAATTATATATATTTCTTAAATTAATGTATCAACTATATTACACATTCATTATATAGTCATTATCTTATATTATTACATTATTTTACATATAGTTGTAAAACATAGAAAACGAATATAATACCATTTTATACATATTTCCTTTATATTCATTAAATTAAAACAAATCGACGTACCCTAATTAGAATATGTATTTTATAATACATTTCCCTATCAATATTATTTGTAAGAGCATTATCACTTGCATCACAATATATTTGTTAATATTAATATATATTTTTTTTTCTCGTTTACTAGTTGTGTCAAAACTACCATAAATTCCTAGAATATAATTATGATAATTTATTATTTTTTTACGTTACATGTCTAATTTTACTCTAATTTATCTTAAGTGAATCACTTCCCCTTTTAATTTTAGAATGTATATTGCTCTTTAAACGGAAATATACATTTTTGTGCTCAATAATTTATAATACACTTATCAATGGCGCATCATTTTTATATTGTTCTAATTATCGTTAAAATTATACTTGCATTAATTACATTTATTATAATAATCTTTTTCTTCGTGCTATACATTCATGAATTGTTCATATAAATAAATATTTATTTACATAATATATAATACTTAAATCATGCTTTTTTTAATGCTTATATTTCATTATTATTCTATTTTTCTGTCTTATTGTGCATTATCACACAACTATAACAGTATGTTACCTCATATAAATCTCTTAAAGAATATTTTATTAACGGTTAATAACAGAAAAAAATTTTGTCCTGAATGGCATGACAAACATAATTGTCTTATGTCGAAATATATAAATATATATTATGAGACATATGAATCTATTTACCCTTCCTTTATTTCATTTTTATTTGGATTTAATTTTTCTTTTTTATTCTCATCTTATATGACATTTATCCATATAAAGTAAAATAATCATATATAAGTAGAGGAAAATATTATTATTTAATAAATATATACATGTAAAAATTATAAATATCAATATAAAATGCTTATATATTTAATTATAACCTTTATATACTCTATAATAAATCTGCAACCACATCACTGTACCTAATGTTAAATAATCTACGATAAAACCATTAAAAAATATTAGTTCTATTAATATAATTTACTTCTATAATATTAGAAAAAAGTTAAATTATTTTACTTCATACATTATGTTGGATAGATTATATTCTATGCGTAGTTTCATTATTCTCATGTTACTGCTAAATTTTTGAGGCACAATACAACGTAACTCACGTATTTCTGATCCTAGGTCCTTAGCTTCTTTAACTTTATCTATATATAACATATTAAAGGACAATAAAATGTTCCAAATAGCATTTCTATCACATGTTTCACAAATAGTAAAGTTCTAAATATAATTCAATAGATATATAGTCAGAAGATCAAAATTCATAATGACAATTCATATAAATCCGATTAATATAAGTTTTTTAAATATATTTTTATGTCTGTTTGATCACTATTATTACTTTTCATATATTTATAATATTAAAAAGTATCATGTAAATATTTCTATTATTCCCAATTTTATGGGTTACTTGATTTATAACATATATATGATTCCAATTTATATTGTATTATAAGTAATAGTTCTACATGGTCACATATTTTATCCCTAACATGTCTATTTTATGGATCACATACTTTTTAGTCCTATTTCACTATATGATTATGTAAGAAATCCAAAAAGTAATAGCATTCATATAATCGCTTATTTTCTTATTTGACAAACTATTTTTTAAAATTATTTGCAATATTTTTACAAAGGATTATGTATTTTTCGTTAATGCTTTCTAACGTGTTACAGTATTCATTATTACTGTTTTTAATATACACTTTATCAAATACATTATATCTGTTATTAGTAAATATAGAAATATTTCACTTCTTTGAATACGAGGAAAAAACAAGTAGTGTTATATAAATTTTAAAATTATTCCTAAAAAAGATGATATCATACGTTCATACATTTATAGAAATTGTTCGCAAAATGGTTTATATGCATATCAAAAGGGTACATAAGACAAATAACCCTATTTAATAATGGTATCCTATTATATTTCAAGAAAATAAATTAATTACAAAATTCGAGAAATTATCTATACGTGAAAACCTATTTCTTTAACATAGAAGTGTTCTATGGTTTAGTTATCTCATGAAACGTGAACACCTTTAATTATTTATAAACGTATAAGTAAAATTAGTGTTCTGAAGGATATCAATTTAAAAGTATATCAAACAAACCAATTAATAATCACTTATAAATAAAATAATTCTTATTTTCACATATTACTAATTGTGACATGTTCATGTCATTGTTGAGTATGTCTTCTAACATGTGAACTATAGAAATATCATATTATAACTTATTCCTTATAATAGATAGATAATATCTATATTTTCCACTAAAAAAGTGTAATTTATTTCATTACTCTATTGCATATTTTTTGCTAGTTATTCATATCAGTTATTTACACTTGCATTCTTAAAATTACACAT